CTAAAATCGGGCGAAGCTATATATGGGAGCTATATCTAAATTTGAACCGATTTTAATATCGTAGGCATAATCTTAAGCAAAAATAAGTCCAGAACACCCAAAATATATTTTTTATTAAAAGAAAAAAATATTTATTATGTCCAAAATATATTTTTATAAAAGACAAACAGATCGTGCTGTAAACAAGGAAATCGAGGTCATAAAGAGTGCTTATCGTAGAAAAATAATTGGACTTATTATAAGAGACCATAGATTTTTTTAATAATAGACTAACTGCAAAACATAATATGTCCCCTTATATAGATCATTATATATTCCAAAAAAAGTCCAATAGGAGGACCTGTTGCGGGCCCTATAAAGTATCCCATTAATCTTCTCATAGAAACCCGATTTCTTATAGAATTCAAATATGACTTCTTATGTGAGACAAATAACTTTAGAAGGATATAGGTATAGACTTCTTATAGAAGACCTAATAAAAGACATTTTTATATATATTTTTTAATAGAAGACCACTAGTTGTCTCTTATATATCTGGGAACCTTCTAAAAAGAGACAACTACATATAATAGGTTGGGGAAAAATATATCCATTACTTTTATATCAACAATAAGACTTTATTTTTGTATGATTTGTTGTCATTTTAAAGGTAATCTCATACTGACTCTCTCATAGAAGTCGTGCATGTATTAAAACTTCCCCACCAAGCTCCCAAAGTTTCTGGCAAGTCACAGTAGATGAGTGGCCTAGCTTTGTCCTGGTGGAATACGACACGTTGTCCTGTTGGCCAATTCTGGCCTTTTCTGGTCAATTACTATCATCAAACGGTCCAGTTGTTGACAGTAGAGATCAGAATTTTGCTATATGGAAGCAACTCATAATAAATAATTCCCTTCCAGTCCCACCAAACGTATAGCAGAACCTTCCTGGCCGCTAGTCCTGATTTAGCCACCGTTTTAAGTGATTCACCGCTCTTTGATCATGGTCAATCTGGTCAATTACTATCTTCAAACGGTCCAGTTGTTGACAGTAGGGATCAGAATTTTGCTATATGGAAGCAACTCATAATAAATAATCCCCTTCCAGTCCTACCAAATGTATAGCAGAACCTTCCTGGCCGCTAGTCCTGATTTAGCCACCGTTTTAAGTGCTTCACCGCTCTTTGATCACGATCGTTTTCACACAGGTTTATCGTATGTGATCTATTTTAAATCTCCTATCACCATCCTTTTAAGATATGGGTCTATCTCATTCCGTTTGGTCAAGGCTTCGCAGATGGAAATTCGATCCATCCTATTTTTTCTGTTAATTGGTGTGACACCCAAACATCGAGCTTCTTTTTGAGTCCAGCTTTATGTAAATTGTTTAAAACAGTATTATGGTCGATTTTTTGCTCCTTGGCTATGTTACGACTACAACATGCCGGTCAACTTCGATCATTTCTCCGATTTCATCAACATTTTCGACGACCGGTCTAATGGATTTCTTTTCATTTAAATTTTATAAAGACTAATAGATTTTCAATACGAGATTTTTATAGAAGTCCTATAGAGGTCAATTAGAATGTCGCATGGACGACAAAATAAGCCTCTACGATGTATGCTTCTGCGGTGATGGGCGAAGAAATAGTTTCCCCCATACAATTGAACACCTCAGCTCTACTCAAACTTAGTGACAATTTCGTTTTTCTTTGAGGGTTTTCATATGTAGGCGTTATAGAAAATTTATAATTCTTAGATTGTCGACAAATTATGGACGACAAATTAAGACTCTTCGAAGTATGCTTCTCCGGGGAAAGTCGAAAATATATTTTCCCATAATAATAATAAATAATATATATTCCCCTAAGTTTACCTGTGGCAAAGTTAGCGACAAGACCGCTATTCTTGGAGTTGCAAATTCTCAACTCATTCTTTCCAAAATCTAAATAGTTTTCGGAAACCATTTTACAGGTCCTCCATTTAGGAGCCCCGTGCAAGGCTTTGTCTTCCTTCGCACTGGTTATTGGTGCCCAAAAGATCTCTTATCATCTGCAAACACGCTTGAAGCTTTTTACTGAGTACAAGTATTTGGCTTAATTTTCTCAGTTATGCACGGTCTACTTCAGTCTTCATAGGTGAGGGTGGTTGACTTGAGCCACCTTGGTATCAAAGGTTGAAATTCTCCCAATCAAGGAATTGATAATATATGGATAATGATGATAATATATGGATAATTCCTTGTGAACTTCCGACAGCCCCTGTCAATAGGAATTTTGCAAACATATATTACTCCCCTGCTAATCTTTTTGTCACATCCCTTGGACTTGGTACAAGACTTCATTCGAATACAGTTGGTATCCTGACTGCAAACTGTAATACACTGATGGTCATGAGGTCGTCTCACAACTCACATTCTATGGAAGGTGGCCTAAGACCATTTATCAATTGGTTTTTTATTAGTTCGATCTTCCGATTTTTGGTATATGCAGCTGACCAATGAATGTTATTGGGCTTTCCACCAATCGCAACCTCTGGACACATTTCCAAATGCTATCGCTCAAACAATTTCTTAAAGTGTCAGTTTTTTGCGTCAATATTTATTTTTCATTACTTGATGACTTTTGTCATTTAATTAAATTAATTATTGTTTTTACATGTAAATTTCAGATCAGAGTTCATAGATTAATTTGAAAAAAAAAATAACTTTTCTATTACATCATGTGGATGTTTTTTGTTCTATAAATTTGCATTGAAATGTTCGGATTCCGAGCCTTTTCGTAAAATATAAACCGGTTAAATACTTAATGTTGAACACAAAATATTTCCAGAGACTACATGTCTGATTTTTATTTTCGAAGAGTTAAAAATTTAATTTCAAAACCCCAAGTTTCCCACAAATTCTCAAAATTTCGAATTTATTTTAAAAGTGACCCAACGTTGTTTTTACTGAACGCTTTTAATTGTTGTGAATACATACATCTTCGATAATTCTTAATACACTCCCACCCAAACTGTCTGACAGCTCATCGCAATTTACGCGCGAGACTAATAATAAAAATTTCGCCAAATATTTTCATATACATGTGTATGTATTCTCAAAATGTTTCGTCAATATTGAAAATAAAACAAACAATTTTATTTGTGAATTCAAATAAAATCGTGTTTGATTTTTTATTGAATTAATGTTTTCTTTTTTTTTTTTTTTTGTATTTTCAACACCCAAGTAATGTTCCGCTTTTTCTATGCTACAGCTTCCATGACGCTTGTTGATACATTCAAATACATTATTTGGGATAGTCTTAGCAGCAAGAATCATCGTAAACATTTCTCGAATGAATTATGCCTCATCATTCCGCTGTGTTGGGTCCAACAGAAATGTGTCCAATAAAAAAAGTTTATATATTATTAGCTGAGAGAACTTTTCAAAATTATTCTTTCTCTCTCATGTTTTCTATTCACTTTCAGTTGAATCCTAAACATTGAAAAAATACAATTTAAAATTTTTGTCTAATATATATAGCGGGTGTTGCGTTTAGTTTGACATTGAAAAATCTTATGATTTGTTACATTAGGTTTGTTCGATTATTTGTTAGTAACTCAGTAACTTTAAATCTTCTAAATTCTCTAAATTTTTATTCTCAGAGAATATACAAGTCTTCTCGCAAGTGAACTATTCTTGAAATTGGATTTAAAATTAGCTGATTGAACTTTTTTCTTAACAAATTTCTCCACTTAAATCTCCGGGTTTCAATCCCACATTGTAAAAGAACTTTTCTCAAGTATTTCTCTCTTAAAGAAATAATAAAATTATTACAAAATATTAAAAATAATTAAGTTAATGAACACACCTATTATTATTCTACCCTAATAGCTATCAATCTATGTCCGCCTAAATATGTTATGACGTCACTTTTCTTCTTTTATATCTACTTTTTTAATATCTTTGTCAGAGCCTACATGAGCTCCTTAAATATTTCCTAATGAAATTCTTGTTTTGCATAATACTTATATGTATACGCGTGAGAGTATCAGTGTGTGTGTATGTGTGGTTTCCCGTTGTTGTGCTAATATTTGTTTCAATTTGGCAATGAAATTTCACAAATAATAAAAAATATCTCCCCGTTCCATTTAGACAGATTGAAAATTTCCCTAATTCCGACAAAATTGGTAACATTCAAAATTCAAATCACCAACATAGATCTAATAATTCCGACATGAACAATCAAGCACCTTGGCCGGTACGCAAGGGCATATTTCGTTCTAGTGGGCAATCAGATTTCATACCCACCAGATCGCCAAGTCCCATTGTGGAAATGCCCTTGTCACCGCCACCGGTTGCCAGTAATAGTCGCGGTTCGTCGTTAAGTCGTTTCGATAACAATTGCCCACTTTCGCCCCCGCCACAACCAGTACAAGTCATACTAGGCCCTCCTGGACCAGCAGTAACTTCGTCCGCCGCCCTAACTGCTAGCTCAAAATGTACACAAGCATCATCGTCATCATCTTCGTCGTCGTCGTCGGGTCAACGTCGTATGTCCCAGTCCGCCGCCTCAAGTAGCAGCAGCGCTGCCACTGCCTCCGCGTCTTCTGCCTCGTCCGCATCTGCCCGTATGTCCCAATCGGCAACGTCCTCCAGCAGCAGTAGTAGTGCTTCACGCACTTCTGTACGTAAAGAATCCAGTCCCTCGCTAATCAACAACAGCTGTCATTCCTCTACACAACAGCATCATCACCAGCAGCAGCAACAAAAACAACACATAAATCATAATGCCATAAAATCATCCACACCACCCAGACCTTTGAAAAATGTTCGAGAAATACCCATTGAAGTCGAACAGAATAAGGTTAGAATTTCATGATAGAACCCAACGGGAAAATATTAGGTCAATAGCTCTACACGAATGTAACTCTCTCCCAAAACTCCCCTCCTCTCTTTGTGTTAAATATATAATATCTGTCTCTACCAATTGTATTATTCCCATGTTATTATTCGCACTCTTTTTTCTCTCTATTTCACAGGAAGCTCTCTCCCTACGCACCGGTGATATTACCCAACAGGCCAGCAACAATGTGGCCGCCGCTAGTCTTAAGGTACAAAGCGACACTTTCTCCGCCGACAAGAAAGCCATCTCCCAATCCCAACAATCCCAAACGATGACCTCCAATGGCATCATTAGCCAAGAGAAACACATGTCATCGGCCGCCCAGGCCAACTATACCATGACGAGCAAAGGTGTCAGCAGCTCCGGTGGCAGTACCATGATCTCCTCCTCCTCACAAATGTCCACAACAAATGGCAGCTTCTTCAAACTGGCCGATTTCAAGCTGGACGACTTAATGTCGTTATCGGCCAATAGTGGCCAACGGGAAATCGAACAGGCCATAAACAAATACTCGAACATGTTGACCAATTGTGTCAGTACACTGCAAGAGAAAAAAGCCGATTCGGAAGCCACATTATTTTTGGATAAAATCAATGAAGTCATACGTCGAGCGTGGGCAGTACCCACCCATGGCCATGAACTAGGCTATAGTTTGTGTAATTCCTTGCGCAGCAGTGGTGGTCTAGATTTGTTAATGCGCAATTGTGTCCAGAGTGATATGCGCATCAAGTTCTCCTCAGCCAAGTTGTTGGAACAATGTCTGACCACCGAGAATCGTACCCATGTGGTAGACAATGGTCTCGACAAGGTGGTGAATGTGGCCTGTGTCTGCACCAAAAATCAAAGCACCGAGCACTCCCGTGTTGGTACTGGCATTTTGGAGCATCTCTTCAAACACTCTGAGGGCACATGTTCGGATGTCATCAAGCTCGGCGGTTTGGATGCTGTACTCTTCGAATGTCGTACCAGTGATGTGGAAACGTTGAGACATTGCGCCAGTGCCTTGGCGAATCTGTCATTGTATGGTGGTGCTGAAAATCAAGAAGCCATGATCCTGCGTAAAGTACCCATGTGGTTGTTCCCCTTGGCCTTCCACAATGACGACAACATCAAGTATTATGCCTGCCTGGCAATTGCTGTTCTAGTCGCCAACAAAGAAATCGAAGCTGAGGTCTTGAAATCCGGTTGTTTGGATTTGGTAGAGCCATTCGTTACCTCCCATGATCCCTCAGAGTTTGCCAAATCGAATTTAGCCCATGCCCACGGTCAAAGCAAGCATTGGCTACAGCGTTTAGTTCCAGTTTTAAGTTCAAATCGAGAAGAGGCACGCAGTCTGGCCGCTTTCCATTTTTGTATGGAAGCTGGTATAAAGCGTGAACAGGGAAATACAGAGATTTTCCGGGAAATTGGTGCCATCGAGGCCCTAAAGACTGTGGCGAGTTGTCCAAATGCCATAGCCTCGAAGTTTGCCGCTCAAGCTTTACGCCTGATTGGAGAAACTGTGCCGCACAAGCTGTCGCAGCAAGTACCACTGTGGTCTGTTGAAGATGTACAAGAGTGGGTGAAACAAATCGGGTTTGGTCAATTTGTCAAACAGTTCGAAGAGTCCCAGGTGGATGGAGATCTGCTGTTGAAGCTGACCGATAAAAATCTACGTGATGATATCGGCATTATGAATGGCATATTGCTGAAACGTTTCGAACGTGAATTACAAAATCTCAAAAGAATGGCCGATTACTCCTCAAAGGATACAGCCAAGTTGCACCAATTTTTGGCTGAAATTGGTCCGGAATACTGTACCTACACCTATTCGATGCTAAATGCCGGCATTGATAAGAATTCTCTGCCCCACCTCAATGAGGATATGTTAATACAGGAGTGCAACATTACAAATTCCATACACCGCCTACGGATTCTCAATGCAGTAAAAAGTTTAGAGAACACTCTGTCGAGTGCATCCGAGGATAGTATGGCCAAAACATTGGATGTTTTTGTTAGTTATAGACGTTCGAACGGGTCACAATTGGCTAGTTTGCTTAAGGTGAGTACGACGTCTGTGGTTGGTGATTGAATTTTATCATTAATTCGTTATTTTCTGTTTGCAGGTCCATCTACAATTACGCGGCTTCTCGGTGTTCATTGATGTTGAACGTTTGGAGGCTGGCAAATTCGATAATGGTTTGCTAAACAGTATTCGTCAAGCGAAAAATTTCGTTTTAGTATTAACACCAAATGCTCTTGAACGTTGTGTCGACGATAATGAATGTAAAGATTGGGTGCATCGGGTAAGTTGATCTATTGTATTTAAGTAATTTAATTCGATAAAAGTAAGGTTAGACATAAAACGTTTTGGAGAAATTGTGTACAAAAGGCTTTCGGTATAAGACAATAGAACATATCCATTTAAAGAAATATCTGAATGTTTTATAATACCATAGCCCCTCAAAATAAATTCCTTAAATATTCAGAATTGTTTTAAAATTAATACTTGAAAAATACCTATTAATATCTTAAATGACTCTTAGGTTCATTCAAACATTATTTAGTTTATTGGAATGTATTATTAAACATTTGTTAATAGGCGTTAAAATCAATCTTTACAGACCCATCGATATTTCTTAAAAACAATATTTAAATTTCCAATTAATGTTCTGAGACAAAATAGTTAATTATAATATTTTATTATCCTCCTTTATAGTCTGTGATAGTTCTTTATAGTTCAAAATTCTCAAAAAATAATATATCTTTGAAAATCTAATATTCGATTAGCCCTTGAAATCATATTCTTCTATTCTTCCTACAAAATGTCTAGACCTAAGTTGGTTTAGGAAAATTATATTCTAAAACTTAGAGATTCCTGGAAGATATATTTTCTTTATTTATATTTAGATTCTCTAGAATTTAAAAAAATCCACATAATCTCACAAAAAAAATTTGAAAAATATACTGTAACTAATATTTCGTCAACATTTTTATTTGTAGGAAATTGTTGCTGCCCTTAATTCAAACTGCAATATTATACCCATCATTGATAATCAATTCAGTTGGCCTGAATCGGAAAGACTGCCCGAGGATATGCGCAGCGTATGTCATTTTAATGGTGTCACCTGGATACATGACTACCAGGATGCCTGTATCGATAAATTAGAGAGGTTCGTTGTCAACTCATGAGCTCACGCCCCATACAACGTAGCGTACAAATAGTAATCACACAATCACGTTTTTTCTCGATTCGATTTTCTTCGATTTAGATTTATGCGCGGCGAAAAGAATATTGATCGCATAACGGCAATGACACCGGGCACGCCCAGTTCGACGGTAACATACCAAAGAATGCACAGCAACGATTCGGACTATAGTGTGGCGGGCAGCAATGCGGGCGGCAGTAATTGTTGTGGCAGTGGCGGCGGCAACAGTGGATCATCGGTTAATGGCGGCGGACAAGGTGGGGCACAAAATTCGATCACAACTACAACATCCTCAAATACAGGACGGTCCAGTGTCGATTGACTGGATTGTTTGAACTCGAAACAATTTGAAACAAATAATGAAAATTCTCTTAATTCTCAGAACACTATCAATACTACTAGTAGTAATATCCTTCCATCATTTAGTTCTTTACACTACCCTACTACTTTACCTTCCCATTCTATTCCTTCCTCATCGCCTTCTTCTTGTTCTTCTCCTTCTATTTCGAATATTATTGATAATATTAATGATAAAGTTAGCCTTAGTAGTTATATTAGTAATATTAGCAACAACAACAACAAAAACTACAATAGTCATAGCAAAAAGCATTTCAAAACTCTTTCGAATTCTCCATCATACATACTTAGATCAAAATTGAAATCTAAATTATTAACCGGCCAATTGGCAACAAATCGTGGCCACAGTGGCAGTTGTTGTGCCCTCAATAGCAGCAACTGCAGCAGCAGTGGCAAAAACTGTAGTAGTTACTTTAGTCAAAATTCAAAAAACTTACATTTTCTCAATAACCTACATAATAACGATACTGATGATGATGATAATAATCAATTAATTAATCAAACTAATCACAAACTAGCAGCTAGTCACCAGGCAAATAGATATCGGCAATCGGCGTCCCCGGCTCGTCAACGTTTGGGTCCAGGAGGTGGCAGTATGATCAGCAGCACTGGCAAACTGGGCAGTACGGGCAGCCAGTTGAGTGTATTCGGTCGCGGTTCCAAAAGGAATATGTTGCCCCCGTACAGAACACAACCGACTTCGGCCCACAAGCCATTGGCCATGGGTGGTTCAATGCAGAATGTCTCACCATTGGCCTATAAACCTCCGCGTCGTAGTTCAGCTGTGGGTATTTGCAATGATGCTGGCAACTCCAAGCCGGCTGCATCAAATTTTAGGAGTCACAGTGTTGATGGACTGTTGGATAGTAGTGAGAGTAGCGATCGTAAAATAGCCGAAGCTGCAGCTATTGTTTCGGCTGGCAGCATGGCATTGACCAATGCCAGCTCCACCAGTACTCTTCAGCCGAATGAAGACGATTACTCAGTATCCACAGATGATTTGCTAGACAACGAAGTGACATCGAATGTGTCACGACGTGATAAATCTGCTCATCTTCCGCCCATTAATCCGCAGCATCGTAAATCACGCAGTCTCGATCATTTTCTTGATGAACAGACACTTGCAGCCATTGTGGCACCCCCATCACCCACCGAGGGCACACAGAGTATGCAAAATCTTGCCACACCTCAAACACCGGAGCCCATTCGTTCTACGAATGTCATAAATGGAGCAATTCATTCCCTGCCTATGCGTTCGGCTTCGGTACGGGACTCTAAATCATTGACACCAGATCGTGTTACAGCTCTGCGGCAAAGTCCCTCGAATAGACAAAGTCCCGAAGGCATCAGTTCGGCAGAAGATGAGCATGAGGATACACAAAGTCAGAAAAGTAGTCAGTCGGCAAGATCGAGTCAGACAGCAGTAGTTCCCAAAACCACAACTTCCGCTCCCAAGAGTCAGACAAGAGCAGCGGCTCATGTACATCGTGGCAGTGCCACAAGTCGTGTACCCAAAACTACATCCAGCAGTTCATTAGGCGCAACACCCACAAAGGCCATCGGCACATCATCGACGGCGGCAGCAGCAGCGACGACGACGGGAGACAACAACAAAACAATATTCAATCGAACAATTAAAAAAGTTCGATCGCTCATCAAAAAGTAAGCATGATTTATATTGAAGTCAACAAGCAAAACAAAAAACGAAATTATGAAAACAAAATGACACCAATATCCTCTAAAACAACGTTGTAAAATGTCCCCTACTCCATCCATTAACTCAATGTGTTTGCATTACATACAACCATTATTAATATGTAACAACATTCGCTTTTGAAAGCCCGTCCAGTAAACGTTAGTAGCATTATTCCCATTTGTGTTATTAGTCCAATCACCGTCGCCCATTGATGGAACAATGTTTTCCATTATGTTTTTCTTCATTAACTAGCTTAGCTAATGTGCAACTCATTCATATGTTTCCTTAACCAAGTTACACATTCATTTCGATATGTCTCCCGGAGGGCTGCATAGCTTTTGGGTGACTAATTTTTGATTAGCATTTTTTAGGTGAATTGAAAATAACTTCATCCATGTACAACATTTAAAAAAGCAATGTTATTATTCCCGATACCCTTGACTTATTAGTATTGGCATCATTGAAAGTGAATTAATCATTAACGAAAACTTTTAAATTAGTCTTCTTAGTCTCATAGGTTTCCCGTTAGAATTGCCACTTGACTGGATGATGATATAGCACTGAAGTTATTCCGCTATCCTAGATATATCCATCACTGTATATAGCTATAAAAATTAGGGATATTAGAGGAATGCAAATTATTGTCATTCAAAATCAGACCACCATCCAGAGTCTAAACTCACGATTATTGTCTTCTAATTGATTTCTATGAACTAAGGAAATTGTATACATGATTGCATTAAAGGTCTAGATTTTCAAGATCTAAAATCCAAATTTAAGAATTAGGTCCCAACATACACAAATAGGAATGACTACAATAAATAATTGATGTTAAGATATATAATTCTGGCCTATTATTAACTGAACAAATTGTGGAGTACCTGTCAGAATTGACATCTTGCATTGCCCAAGCGGAACCGACGACTGTTCTTTATCGAGATCATGCACATATATTAGTGATTTGTCACCTGTGACAAAAATATAAGCATACTCTAAGCGCCAAAGCGGACTTTTTTGAACAATTATTAAATTATGTGGAATCCAACAAGGACACACTTTAAGTTGATCGATCCATTTTTGTCATAATCAAGGCCTATTAATGAGGTAACCCAGCAGGCGAGAGTCAGCTGTTTTTCTCAAGCCTAATGTCGAAAAATTGGACGTTGTTTACGTTTTCATAATGGACGTAAATTCACAATAATGGATTTTGACAGCAAACTTGAGAAGCTGCTTATCCTGGATGACATTATTAATAGGCTAGAGTTCTCTAATCGTAATAGTCTTCTAAAGTGTTTAAGAAAGAATTGTTCACAGTTCCGATTTCAAAAACAGTCCTCTAAACGCTTTTTAAAAGGTGAAGTGTTCTAAACCTAATTTGTATTTCGTATTTATGTAGTAATTACAAAAAGATAGAATATAGAAATCCAAAGTTCTGATTTCTGCATACGACTCTTAATGGCAATAAAATTCAAAGTTTTCCCTACTCCTTATGTCCAAAATATTTTTAAAATATTGAGTCCGACAACTGACAACTTATATACAAAATAAAATAAATAGTGCCTTTAGTTTTCCAAAAACAAAAAAAATAGAAGTATTGCAAAAAAATAGTACAAATACAAGTGCCTGGTTTTACAAAAATGTCATGTAAAATCCCACAAATGTTGAATCTCATTAAAACGCTATTATTTCGATTTTTTATTTTATTAACATTTCAATGAACCCTTGTAACCCCCTAAGCATTCCACATAACATAAGCCAGACGACACTATAACCAATCTATAAACAATGCTTACTTTTCGATATTAATAAATGCAAAATTGAAATCGAGGTTATTATGGTTAATAACAAAAACAACAACACTACTACTTTCTATTACTACTAGTCGTTTATGCTCTCTAAACTAAATTCGAATACAAAAATTAAAAGCGACTAAAAAAAAACAAATTAAACAACTGCCTTTAGCACCACCAACCAAACATTACCTACCCAGGCGTTACAACCGATCAAATCTATTTGCCTTGTGATTAGTTTCAAAAAAAATAAAAAATTGAATTATTAGCTATAATCACACAACATTTTTTTATTAAGCGAACAAAAAAAGAGTTTTTGAATTTTATTTTTCTATCTCAACGAATTTTTCTTTTAAGATAATAAATATTATTTATTTAAAACAAAAACTGAAACTGAACACATAAGAAAACCACAACAACAAAAAACTAATGTAAAATTATAAAGTTGCTTAGAATTTAAAATATCTTCTTGACTGTTTGTTTTTGTTTTATAAACACACTTTTTTGTTTGTTCGATTTTATGTTTAAATTCTTTGTAAATTTGTAATCCTCCTTTTTGAGCTGTTTCCTTTATTTTTTTAGTTATGATTTTAATTTAAAAGATATTTTATTTAAAAAACAAATAACACATGGACTCAAGGGTCCTGAATATAGAAAAAAAAATAATTTTTATAAATAACCATGTTAACACTTTCCAAACGCTTGAAAAAACTTGGTTTCAATTCAAGTGTTAAAATAAAAAAAATTAAATGATAATTCTTCAAGACATCTCAATTCACTCTTTGAGGTTTCATGATAGACCTTGAGGTTTCTTGTAGACCTGAGGCCTTACTTAACATAAGCAATTCAGGATATGACGACGAAATTCTATTACACAGTCTGATAGAATTAAAAGTTTCGCAATTTACTAAACCTGATAGCACCATTTTTATAAAACAACGAACTTCCTTCAACATTTTCACAAAATCAACGAATTTTATTTTGGCCACTTACTAATTTCATCTTAAAATGCCGGACCCCGAGTTCATGTGTTGAATATAAAAATAAATATGTATATTTTTCAAACCGTCCTGATTTAGTCAAAAGAACAAACAAAAAATTAAAAAAGAGACACAAAAACAAATTACTATTGTTTTTGGTACGATTTTTTTCAAATGTAATTTTGTAATCAATTTTTAGTTTTTTTTTTAATTATAAAAAAAAATCCCACCTTAATCCTTTATCGCATATGTTTATTTGTTTTGTGTATGTGTGTGTTCCGTTATGGAAATACATTCAAAATATATATATTTTTATATATAATTTTTTCTACATAAAATTATGCTAATTCATTAATTTTAAATTAAAATTAATTTATATAAGTAAATGAAAACGAAAAAAAAAAAAAACTGAAATAATTTTTATTATTAAATATTATTACTATTACTAATTGTACAACATTTTTCGTTAATGGAAAAATGCTTAATTAACAAAAAGAAAAATAGAAACTGAAAAACGATTGGCTTAAAAGCAAAATATTAAAAAATGAAACAATTAATAATATAATAAAGAAAATGTAATT